AAATTACTGATCTGGCCTTGCAACAAGCAGCTCCACAGCAGCCTTACCGCAATCCTGGTAAACAACATATGTGAGGATGAGCTGGTGAAGCTGCTGTAAAGGCATTTGCTGCTCTCAAATCCCGGCTCCTGCGTTGCACAGGGACCTGCTGTTACAGCAAGCAGAGCCCACCTGCTGGCAGCACTGACACGGAGGCTAAAATTCAGCGTGTGTGGTGACTGCAGAGCACAGCTGAGACCCTCAGGATGAGGATGATCAGGTGGGCATTTGGCTGCGTGCCTCAGGCTGCCTGTTTTCTGGCTAGCAGAGACCAACTTCCTCAGTTACTTGGTATTTCCTAAATCCATTCATTCTTTGGTTCCTTCTTCTGATGCTTCCCTCCTCCCTGCCTCTGCAGTGATACGCACATGAAAGGAGGGAAGAACTGGCCCCTTAGTGAGGAAGCAGACTTTGGCTTTTTTTTTTGGCTGATTCTGGAACAGAAAGCTCCAGCCAGGAGCTGTTCTGATTAGGTCTTAGTGTAAAACAGATGCAAAGTTTCATGCAACAAGTGAAGTGGCAAAGGGAAACAGATATATTTTTACATGCTGTCTTTCCACATCTCTTGCATGGGATCAGAGCTATTAGATCTGAAGGTGATTAAGTGTGAGACCCCGGCACAGTAACAAAAGTGTAGGCCACCAGTTTCTTAATGATCATCTGGGAGCTGCAGTGCAATGTTTATTTGAAATACAGGCCAGAAACAAGCTCCCCCATTTTTTACTCCTCACTACTTTCTGTCTTACAAAGAATGAAAGAAAACCAGGTTTTCTAATAGTGCCAGATCTGGAGGCAAGAGATACATTTACATTCAAAACCTTGCATGAATGTCCAGCTGCAAGAGTTTCCAAGCAAGGCAAAAGCTAGTGAGTGAAAGAAGTTGGACAATTACACTCATTTGTCTGCCTTGTTTTCATTGAAATAATTCAGGCAAGGCCAACTGAATTGCTTGGATTCTCAAAGGTATAATTTAGGCATGAGATGTTTACAATCAACTCTCATTTGCATCAACCAGGAGGAAAACATGGGATATGTTGGATATTTCAACTGACGGGTTAATTATGAGTTTACCCACTAATGTTTATTCAACCTTCTGGATGTGAATGGCCACTGGGCCAGATCCTGCCACTCTCACTACTGTGCTTGCCCTGTGGGTTCCACACAGGTGAGAGGAGCGCAGGACAGGGCCCCGTGAGGGCAGTTCTGGTTTTCTAAGGAGAATTGGCGCCAGAGATGGGCGTCAATTGGACTGAAAGCCCTAGAAATGTTAGATCTGCTGGGAACAACGTACCCTTCCTTTTTGCAGTCCCATGAACGAGCTTAAACAAAGATGCTGTTTGCTATGGGCCACGCTCTCTCTGATTGTTGAACTGCTTAGCAAATAGCTTGATAAAATCAATGGGACTGTTTGTGAGATAGGAAACCTCTCCAAAACTTCTCCATGCTTGCAGGGAGCTCTGGGACTGGCCCCCAGACTCTTTCGTGAGCATTGTGCAGAGAAGTCTAAACACTGCTAAGCAAGCCTAGAGTGAGCAAGGCAATTGATTGACAGTTTTGATTGAAACCAGAAGTAAGTTTTGCTGTGTTGTTTTTTTTTAAACCCAGGCTTAAGTAGACATCGCTTAGAAGAGGAACATCGATCGAAAGATAAACCCAGTGCACAAGAGGACCCTGAAGGTGAAAAGTACCATTAAGTAGGTTAAAGGAGCCTGCCCTCGTATGACAAGCTGTTCTCTGTGCGAAAGGACATAGAGCACTGAGAGGGAGATAAGAAGATTATAAGGTCAGATTCCAGGTTACAGAAACCTTGGTGGCTCGCTCCGTCTTGGGCACCTCTGTGTGGTTTGCAGGCAAGAGCCCTATGAGTGCCAGCTGTGATGTTTTTGGTGCTACTCACACCCCTCCTCCTGAAACTGACCCAAACCTGTCAACTAATTCCCACATGCCAGCAGCTCTCCGGGTGGGTATTTAGCCGCCTGACCTGAGAGAACTTGCCAGCAGGGAGGACAAAGGCCCCATATTTCATGACATGTCCTAAAGTCACCTAGTGAAATGTGTGTTTTCCCACCATGACCAGATCCTTGGTCGCCTCCCCCGGCCGGCCGGGACAGCCAAGGCACAGGCCCAGGAGGAGTGGAATAACACCAGGCTTGGGGCTGGGTGGCCCTGCAGTGAGAGAGGGGACAAACCAGGTCCTGCCCCAAGTAGGTGTTTTGCTGCTGGTTGCAGGAGCTGAAAGCCAACAGGAGGGAAATTCCAGGTTAAGGTCTGGGAGGACACAAGAGCTGACAGAGCCCAGATCTGACCCGTTGGTGCGAGTGACCTGGGTTTGTCTCTGTGCAGCCTCCAGTGATCAAATCCTCCTGACACACACCTCATCTGGAGAGGCAGAGGCTGTTGCCTTCAGTGCAGAGTCAGTGCCTGCAGCTCGTTAGTCCTCATTATTATTAAAGCTCATTATTGCTCTCTCTTCAGCTGAACACCATGAAGCTGAAGTTTGCTGCTGTTTCCTGAGCCTTTCCGGGGCTACACAGACACTGAATTCAATGAAGATGTTGCTCTGCACCCTGTGTGAGCAACTACAGCACTTATATTGAGTTCGGGTAAGGCGGCAGTGTGTTTGTGTGATTCCTTCCACCCTTGTGAGGGTGGAAGAAGAGGCTGAGAAAGGGGAGTCCCCTGTGACATCCACAGCCCCTGAAATACACAGCACACCTGGGTACAATGTAATACGTGGATGTGAAAATAGCAAAAAGACTGCTGCTTAGATAGAAAGATGGAACAGCTGACATTCAAGGGATAAAAGTACCCCAATCTGCAACTGTATCATGCTTACATTTTAAAAAAGAGTGAGTGTTGAAAGTTCACTTTAACTATTTAGGCTGTTAGATCACCTTTTCTTTTCCACTTTCCTCGGACATATCAGCAGGTTGCTCCATCTCTCTGTTTTACCTCTACTTCTGCTCAGTTTCAAGGTTACATTCACTGGCAGGTAAAACATTTGGGGTGTTTGTTCTATGGGGTTATCCAGATAGTCCAAAGAAAAAGCTGGTCTCGTGTATAAAGATTCATGTGAGTGTTTCCATTAGTACGCAGTTTTGTAACATTGCATGTTTTACATCATTGATTTTGTGTTGAGTTCAGACACAAATACATACATATGCACAGAAGCCTGCAGATTGTACATAGAGGGTATCTTTGCCGGTTAAACTGAAGCCACCTGATAACTCTCCTTTTCTGCTTTTCTGATACAAAATTCAAAATTATACAACTAGCCCAGTGTAAGACTTGCTGACATTTTAAATGTGTATGTGTGTGTATGTGTGTGTATGTATGTGGGTTTTTTTTATACGTACACGTGTGTGTGACTTTTAACTTTTGACTTATCTTTAAGATGAATGAATGTGTTGACTGCACATGAGAGATGTGTAAACCTTTAGGACTGTTGGGGTCACCAGGCAAATGTCAAGAACGAGATCACATTGTTTACAATATGCCCCAAAATATACAACAACAGATGACACCCCACGAGTGACATTATAAAGAGAAGCAGCTATTAGAGGCGATGTAAAACACATGCTGCTGGACACCGCAGGTCAAAGATTTATCTCAAATTGTAGATAGCAGGCCATTGCCAGGCAGGGGTATGAAAACATTTCAAGTTTCCCAGTAAAAAGCAGCAGGCGCATGCGTTTGTAACTAATGCCTGCTGGCACATTATGGGGAGAGGCTGACCCTGCGCCTCAAACGCTGGGACAGGGGGCAAGAACTGCAGGACCTGGTCACCCCTTGTGGGGTGCAGCGAGGTCGGGGAGGGTCTCCCCTTGCCTTTCCTGGAAGTGGCAGGGGCAGGCTGCGGGCAGGGCTGTGGGGCAGGGGCAGGGCACACCAAGCACAGAGTTGGCTCAGAGCTCAATGCAACAGGGTACATCTCCTAAAGCAATATGAGATTTAGGTTTGTATTAAGATGTGCAAAGCAAACAATAATCTTATGATTAACCACATTTAACCCTTTCATTTCAGAACACATAATGAGCCCTGACTCTGAAGCCTCAACGAGCCCAGTGAACATAGGAGGGAATAACACTGAAGCCACTGAGGTAAGGCAAATTGGTTGGAATTAACAAGAGTACTGTGGGCTGTAATAATATATTTACAGCCTGGTGATTATACTGTGGGAAGGAAGGGAAGGGGATTAAATCCCTGTTTAGTTTAAGCTGCATTTTAGTGCAGCCAGTTCTTCAGTAGTACACAGTTAAAAATGTAGTCTGTCAAATCCTGCTGACATATTTTGGCAATAGATATTTCCTCTAATTGAAAGCAATTGTTGTGTTGTAAGCTCTCCCCCTTTCCCATTTGTTTTGGTTAACGGGTAGTGGTGGCCTGTCTGCTTAAGCACGTATTGAGCAACTGCTCACTGGAAAGTTAGCATATTGTAAGGAGCGCGGCACGATCCTGCCTGACTTCATAAGGAAAAACTTCCTCCAGGCTTTGGCGCAGGACGTTTGAACAAAGCTGGTAGGATCAGCCTCACTGGTTGTTATTGCAGGGCTTTGCCGTTTGGGTCAGCTAGGGCCTTCATGTGTGAATCCCGGGGTAAAAACCAGGCTCGCTTCTAACGCAGCCATGCTTTGTTTTGAACAATCAGCATGGACCCTGCTGTGAATCCCGCGAGGGGATGCTCTGCTTTATGTTGCCTTCGCTTCCTCTGCTTGGAGCCAAGTGCTGCATCCCACACTGCTGGAAGGCCGTTGAGACACAGGACCTGCCCGCGTGGTGTGGCACAGGAAGGACATGGCCAGCCCCGCTGCCACTGACCCCAGCAGGAACCTTAATGCTGGGGGCAGGCAGAGTCCTGCAGCCCTGGGGGGCTGAACAAGCCCCCTGCTCCGTTAGCCCAGGCAAAATGGTGCTAAACCCACTGCTGCCCACAGTGACTGCACCAGCGCTGCTGCTTCCCCATGGTCCAGCACCCCTGCACACCCGCTCTGCGGCTGGCCACCCGGCCACGAGGCCTCGGGAGGTGGGAAACGGTGTTTGCGGCTCTTGGGACGCGGTGGGGAGCAGCTGCCCGGCCCCAGCGGGGTGTCGAGGCTGGTGCCTGTGCACTGGGGTGCCGGGGGCTCACGTCCTCCCTCTCTGTGCTTTGAGAAATGCACCTGTGCTGTCCCCACAGGACATCATTCAGGGCGCTCAGTGCTGAAACGCCCTTTATCTGACACCCCGCTGGAGCTCAGAGAGCTGCCCTGCTCTGTTTCCCAGCGGTCAGAGCACGGAATGAAACCCTCCTTTACCCTGTAGTCGCATCAAGTCTGATCATCTCAAGCTGGTGCTGGTGGGGATCCAGCCGAAGAAGGGATTTACTCCGCTGTGCGCACCCGCACCCACCCCACTGCGGCGTCTGCAGCTGCACTGCCAGGGGACAGGTATGGATGAGAGACCATGAGTGCACTAAGGCTGGGACTTGAAGGGATTGTGTCTGCATCCCTCCACCAGCATGTGCTAAATTTCCCGCAGAGAGGAGCTGGAGATGCATTTGAGCTCACCAGCCATGATCCAGCCCTGGCTGGTGTGAAGCTGGGGGAGTGAGTATTGAGGCCTTTCTAAGCCTTTAAAGAAAATAAAAGGAACAGGTCACCGAGGAGACCTGCGGGAAACTGGGGAACCTGCTGCCTTTGCATCCCATCTTTCCACCCACAGCGCTCGGGTCGTACCCCAGCATAGGCTACAAAAGACACAATTTTTTTATTGCCTTGTGATAGACCTCCTGGTCTGGAAAATCCTGCCATTATTGTGTGTGTGAACTTTCACCAGCACAGAATCTGTCATTAACCCAGAAGGAGACCTTTTCATGCTCACAACCTCTGTCTGCACAGCTCCTCTCTGGAGGCGAATCCCTCACGGTGAACACGTCAGCCGGCTGCAGACAGGGTTATGACTGCATTACACACTCTGAAGGGAGCAATGCTCTATATTACACTGGGAAAGGTTCATCTTTGAAAACAAAGAGGCTTGGGGGAAAAAAGCATGATTTTACTCAGAAAGTGCCTCTGGTGCCCATAAATCCCTCTCGTCCTCGCGCAGAGCCGGGCTGGAGGCCGGCAGCAGCAGCCGGTGCGATTCCTGCCATGGCCATTTGCAGTGAAGCCTCAGACTGTGCCGGAGCGTGCGTTTAGATTAAAGGACGTCTGGGAAAGGACCTTGCCTTAATCTTTCTGCTAAGCACCTAGCAGACTCCCAGAGTGCTAAATTGTTATTACTAACAGTAACGACAATCTGGCCTCCTTCTCCGTGAGCAGTGCCTGCAATACAGATTAATAACAATAAAACAGGGACTCGGTCCACGCTCATCCAAAAATATACTGAGGATTGCTAATCAGTCTATTTCCAAGCCCTCTGTTATTTCTGAGTGCCCTGAAGTGCCTCAGTGAGCACTTTGCTGATGCATCCAGCCTGATGACACAAGACACTAACAACCGACTGGACAAAGGCAGGGTGGCAGGCGGGACTGGAGAGCATCGGGTGAGTGTGGTGATCAGGGAGCAGCTCTTGTTCAGGCAATGATTTCTCTGTGTCTAAGTGCTCCTCAACTCCTCCTCGGCTCCTCTTGCATTCCCCTGGTGCATAGCTCCTCTCCCTTTGGAAATGCTGCTCCAGTGACGGCCCTGTCCTGGTGGCTCATGGCTGGGCTGGTGGAGACCAAGTGGGACGGCTCTGCTCTCACCTACCCATACCCTCTTCTCCCAGTAAACTGCTAGTGGCCTCTCTCAGGATGGGGAAAAGGCATGAGTTGGACCCTGCTCTGATCCAGTACAGCCATTTTCCAACAGTATGGGGTTCCGTGAGGGAAAGTGAGCGGCCAAAAGGATTCAAAACATGTGTCTGCTAAGCATTTGTGAATGCATCTTACGGCCTCCTGCCAACCTGCCCTGCAATCATATAGAAAATGACCCAAATAACACACTTAGAGGCAGAGTGAAGGAGATGAAAGAAAAAAAAAGAGGACTGGCTGCCTGGGTAGGGACCTTCTGACGCGCTGCACAGCGACAGCAGCAGCTCCAGGGCGGCTGAGACCGAGTCTTGGCTTCTCCTCTGCTGGGCTGCCAAGCAGCCCCTCTGTGGTGGGCCGGGGGGCCCATCTCTGCAGGGGGGCCGTGCAGGGCACCCAGTGTCACAAGCAAGGGCAGGAGGTGCATTGCTCTTCTCCCAGGTGCCAGCTCCTGAGCATCCCGTGTGCAGGTGGTCCCCGCTGCTGAGACACGGGTGGTCCCACAAGCCCATCCTGCTGACGGCGTTTGCCGAAAAATGTCGAGTCAAACCTGGCCATCTCCGGCGTGTGAGGGTGAACTTTCTTCCCAAATCCACAGGGCGCTTTATGGTTACCTTGCAGATAAACCCTGCTAAATAAATAGATGTTTATGCTCCCTGTATTAAAGCGATTAGTTCCTGGTTTTTGACAGTGTTGAGTCAATATAACCTGAGTAACTGCATGAGTAACTCGTGTTTCCCCTAAAGGGAAACTGTTCTCCTGTAAATATATTTATTAATAATTAAAGTGTTTTTGAGTTCTTGTGCACACAGCCCCTCTCCCCCACCGAGATGTCTGAAAGGCTGTTATCTTTAAACCTGCACAGGAAGGGACTTTGGCAGGGGGTGATGGTCTGTGGAAAGAGGCATGTGGTTTAATTTTGACCTTTTTTTATTCCCGAACAAAAAACGATGGTGAAATCTGTGTATGAGAGATTTAAAAACCTCTACTAGTCCATTAGGAGCATTACCCTGAAATACTCACTGGAGCTTCTAACAGCCCAGATAATAGGGGTGGGAAATCATTTGTGGAAAATATTCCCCTCAAAACATCTTACCAGAGGATTGTTTCCTAACAACAACAACAACAATAAAATCTTTGTCAAATAATCCTTCAATACCACAAATATTTTAGCTTTAATTGTATCAGTGTAGATAACTGCTTGGCATAGGAAATGGGAGTCAGAGCTCCTAGGGGATTTTTTTCTGACAAAGCCAGTGCTGGATACCTTTGGGTAAGTCCATATTTTTCTATGTTCTTTGGCCTATTTTTCTTTTAACTGACTGTAATCTGGAACCTAATTTGATATGCCTTAAAAGGCTGATTTCACATGGAAGATGCTCTACTATCAGGATAAGCAGGCATAAGAAATCCTAAAATAGGCAGATTAAGGGTTTGGGATCATGGGGGTTTATTTCTATGCAATTAAAGACATGATCACATTTTAAAATTACTAACTTGTAGTTTAAAAAAACACAACTGGGAGTCCCACATTTAAAAACAGCTAAGAACTCTATTAATTAAGGATATGATTAGCAGAGACAATGAGTTAGATAGCACGAAAGCACAGCATTTAATTCAATGCACATTTTCAGTGGACATGGTGTGGCCAAGGCAGTTATGTATTAATTAGTGCTCTGAAGAGGGTGAGGAGGACAGGAAGAGGGTGAGGGAAATTGGCAGGTGTAGAAATTAGATTAGACAACAACAGAGGATTTTTCTCTCCAGAAGAGAAGTCGTGCAGAATCCTCATCAGCCTCACTAACATGTTTTGTATAAACAAAGATATGTGCCATGAGAGCAGGCGGGGTGGTAAGGCAGCGCTCGGGGACGGGGAGAGGGAGCGCAGCTTTCCGGGGCTCACCTGCGGGGCATTTCCAGGTGGTTGTGACCAAATGACAGCCTTGATTTCCCACCCTTGCTTTAAGTGCTGCCGGCTATTTGTGGATGGCAGGGTGCCTGCAGGCTCAGCCCTTGCGAGGGGGCCGGTGCCGTGCTGCTGATGTGCTGCTGTACCGACCCCACGAGCGTCCCTTTGCTTCCTCCACGGCGCGGGGGCTGCAGGTAGGTCTGCTCCCCTGGGGAGCTCGGGCCGTGGGGAGGACGCTCTGCCCACACCCCACAGCTGCTCCCTTGGCTGCCCGCTCTGCCGGCGCTTCGGCTTGAAGCCTCTACACAGCGCTGCGAGCACCACGACCAGGGCGTCCGCCGTGTGCTGGAGCCCACCCGTGCCCTCTCTTGCGTGGGGACCTGGATGTGCTGCCCAAGGAGCCGGGTCCCTCCTGGGTGACTGGGAGCGCACGGCGGTGCCCCGTGTCGCCGTGGTGCGGCGGGAGAGGAGCGCCGCTCGGGCCGACCGCTCGGGGCTCCTTCCCGGAGCCAGCGGGGACACAGCCCACCCGGGCCAACAAAGCACCTGCTGCAGAGACCCCGGCCCCGGACGCTCTCGGTCCCCCGCGGGGTCCCGGCCTTCTCTCCGGACCCTCACCCGGCAGCCCCTTGCTCTCGGAGCGCATCCTCCTCCGCCGGGCGGGGACAAGCCCCCAGCCCACAGCCCCGCCGGGGAGGGGCCCCCAATCGCCCCCGCCGCCCCCGCGTTCCCACGCCCGTGAGGGGCTGCGCTGCCCCGGGGCTGCTCCCCGCGGTGCCTTCCAGGGGGTGGAATTTGGGAACATCATCGCTTCTTTCGCTGTGTCTTTTTGTTTCACTCCACAGTTAAAAAAGAGCCCGTTGGAGGGCAGAGGAGATGCACAGTCCTATTTTGAACTCGGTTTTTTGGCGAGGCGTGCGGGCAAAGCTCCCCCGGGCGTGGGGCCGGGGGCGGCCCGCGCTTCGCCCCCCGCCCCGTTCCCCAGGGAGCTGACACCCCCCGGGCGGGCGGCAGCGGGGCCGGGGCGGGGGGGCGTCCCGCACTGACACCCCGGCCCCCGCGCTCCCCCCAAACGCGCAGCCCGCAGCGCTGCCGCCCGGAGGGGCCGGGGCGGGCCGGCAGCCCACGGGCGGCGTCCGTGCCGCGGGGGGG